AGACAGACAGACAGACACAGGATAGCTTGGATAATCGCACTGCTGACTTCTACCATTCAATGAAAGAACATTTAATGTATTTTTTCTTTGTTTCAATTTTTTGATCAATTTTATATGCATATATCTGGTAATCTCAACAACTAATTTGAAGACGATAGGTATTATAACAACCATTGTTGAATTCCTATCATTTTTTTTTGTGAAATTAAGTATCTTTTAATTTTTTTACTGATTTTTGTTCTCTTAAAAAAAAGAGTTGGGGCTTTTGGATCGATAAGATAAACATGCAAGATTGTTATTGAAGTGATAGGTCATTTAGCCCAATCTGATTTAAATGAAAATTAGAAGTAGGAAAAAGCTTACAGGAAGATAGAACAATTCCCAAAAGTCCAGTAAAATCCTAGTAGAATTAATCAAACTCTTGAGCTATAATAAAAGGAAAAATTTATCAGAGAATCTCATGCTATTTCTAGTGGTTTGGGGTGGAAAAATTTAGTGATAACAATGTTCAGCATGTTACTTAGTTATTATAGATCATACAGAGAAAAAAAAAACCCTTAAAACTCATAGTCTCATGACCAGCCATGGCATTATTGATATGCTAAGATTTGTTGAAAAAAAAGAAAGTGCTGAAGTTGACAGTCTATGAAGAGTGAAAGAATGCTTAGAATAAAGAATCATAGCCTTGACTAATGGAAGATTTGCTTTATTATATGAAAGGATTTGGAGAACTAGCTGAAGAATCAACTTAGAAAAAGGACACTAACTCTAAGTCACTGGCCCAATAAAATAAACAATACAGGATAACTGAGAAATATGCATGGTGCTGAAAACATAATTCTACTTCATGTTCCATAAATCTGGCCAGATAGCTCAGCAGCTAAAGCGCCTGCTTAGGCAGAGCACAGCGACAGGGGTTCAATCCCCAGCTTGCCTTGCTGGCTCTGCCACAGGGGTGCGCTGAGAGAGAGAGATTGAGACTGGGCTTGGTGGCCCATGCCTATAATTCCAGCGCTTAGTAGGCTGAAAACAGGAGGATCACTACGAATCAGATCTGTGTAGTGAAACACTGTAGACCCCATAGACCCTGCCCTAAATACAAAAAATAAAAATAAAAAGTATGACTGAGATGATGACATTTCTTTCTTAAAAGTCAGACAACTAGCAAATTAGATAATTGAACATTAAATAAAATAATGTGTATGTATTAAAGTAAAAATAATTATAACAGCCATAGTTTTTAGACTTTCTTCCATGACTTTCTTTTAATTCAGACAAGGAAAGCCTTCCTGAATCTTCGGTAAGAACGTCATCTTGAGCCAGTGGGTGAGTAGTGCGTAAATGCCAAATAAAACCTTTCTTAGTGAGCACATGAAGTGGACAGCTACCCTACTTATGGAAAAGACACGGCCAATTAGTTTTAATAGAATGGGTATTTGGGAAGATTTGTTTAATGATGACAGCCTCATTCTGCTCAATCAATACCAGGGAGTGTTTTACAATGAAATGTCTCTCTCTGGCAAGTAATTTACAATAAATAAATCCATAAATCTATCAAGCCCCTTACTGTCTGGGAAGCTATAAGATATGCATGGTTAAAGACCAGAAAGAACTTTTGACCCTAAACTTCCAGGTCAGCACACAGGGCACTGGAACTCTAGTAGCAAATTAGTGAATAGCTGTTTGAAATGACTTGTTCATTAATTATTTCTTTATTAGCCATGATAAACATGAATTAATGACTGAAGTAGACTCCTAGACTCATCAAAACTGGATTATACATTTAGGAGAAACAATGTGTTTGCTTGGCACACTAGCAGGTTTTGTCCTTAAATACTTGTTAATTCTATGTGTTCTGAACTATAGCTGTCTTAGTCTTACGCCACCCATTCCTTCGTGGTGTAATGCTGAACAACTTACCACCTTCATTGTTCGCTAATTTTTTGAGCTGTAAAGCAAAATACTACTGACCCTGGCTCATGTGGCATGTTTCAGAATTCAGTGGAGCAGTCTTTTTATTCAGCAATAGGTACTTAATTTCTTTTTTCTTTTTTTTTCCCGCAGAACCAGGGATTGAACTCAGGCTCTTGTGCTTGCCAGGGAAGCGCTTATTCCACTGAGCCATCTCCCCAGCCTCTTAATTTCTATTATTATTATTTTTTAAATGCTTTTCACCTCAGTTTGCAATCAATGACTTTGAAAATTTTATTTATTTATTTGGCAGAACCGGGGATTGAACTCAGGCCCTTGTGCTTGCCAAGCAAGCACTTATTCTACTGAGCCATCTCCCCGGCCCTTTAATTTCTATTATTGAAATCAAATTTTCCTGCATGATTTAGCTTACTTCTGAGGAAAACATAATTTTCATTTTTAAAATTTAATTATGCTTGATCTTTTATCCAGCTTCATGGGAGTATCACCACATTAAATGATGGTTAAAAAATGAGCATTTGGCACTCACTGTATGAGAGAATTACTTTTAATATCTCCATGGGCACTGGACTATTATATCCCATGTTCTAAGCAGAGAATCCATGGGGTAAATTCAGTTGCTCATGGCAACAAAACCAAGAAATGAGGACTAGCCAAATAGTTCAGCGGATTAAAGAGACTACAAGCAGGTACAGGAGCCAGAGGTTCAATCTCCGGGCCTGCCACGCCAGCCCCCACCCCTGGGGTGCGCTGAGCAGGCGATGGAGACTGGGCGTGGTGGCGTGCACCTGTAATCACAGCACTTGGGAGGCTATAAACAGGCAGATCACTAAGAGTCTGATCAACTAGTGAGACCCTGAACAGCCTGTAGATTCTTCCCGATAATACAAAAAAAGAAAAAAAAAATGAAAGCAAATTTACATATAAGTGTTAAAAAGTAGGCACAACTCAGATACCCATCAGCATGTGGATGGCTAAAAACTGATATCACAGAATCAACAATAAAAAGTAACAAAGTATTGATAAGCACAAAAACATGGATTAATTGCAAAAGTACTTTGCCAGGCAAAGGATGCTAAGCCCGCAAGGCTGAACACTATAATTCTAGTAGTATGACTCCCAGAAAAATATAATATTGTGGGAACAGAAGTTATATCAGAGGCTGTGGGCAGTAGGAAAAAGTGACCGCAGATTGAAGGGAAATTATGGACCACCCCAATGCTCTAAAATTGTGCATTTGCCAAAACTCACAGAACTCTTGAGGGGATTTGACTGACCTTATCAGATACAAAAGTTACATTTCTTGTTATATAGGTCTTGCTTTATCTTGGTATTAACTATCCAGCAGAAAAGTATAAAAACGAAGTATAAAAAGTAAAGCCATATTAATATGCTGAGCTATAAAAAAGGCGCAAGCCAACAATTCTGACATTGCCAGTCTTAAAAAATCCACTACTATTATGGACTACTGGACTATATTGGAATATTTTGCTGAATTCACACACGTACAGTATTTAAATGACAATGGAATGCCCATCTCTGACAAAAGTAAACAAAAAATGGGGATACAAATGAAGATCATTTTGTATCTGTATATGCAAAATAGTTAGGATAGATATATAGCTACTTTCTCTTCATTCAATAAGAAGAAAGATTTGTTCTAATAGTGTTTGAGGAGAGGATATCATGTCTGCATCGTATACAATGAATAACCACTAAGACAACAATATGCAACATATTAATTATTGAAATTGTGCTAGTAATTGGTTTTGAAACTGTATCATTGCTATTTGTTTCTCAACAAAATTATTTAAAAAAATAAAAAGAAAGCTTGCCATGTTTTACTAACTGATTATAGCTAGGAAAGCATATGTATGATTTTCTGTATGTAAATAAAAAATTAAGAATATTCATGAAACAAAAAAAGTTAAAGATTTTGCTGCTCCTTTGACCAGGAGTGTGCAAATTTTCAAGATCAAATTTATGTTCCCGTTCTGTTTCTTCTAAATTATTATTTGTGTAGGCTAGTGGGCATTATCCAACTTTAATTTTCTTTGAAAGTTAAAGTCAAAAAGTATGGTACATAAATTCCTCAGCCTGATTAAAAGCAATAACTCTTAACACCCAGCATAGATTTGTAATGAAGACTTGTGATTAAAACTTTTGTTCCCAAGAAAAACTCAAAATTTAAATTCCCCTGGGCTTAATGTGTTATAAATAAAATTAATTTTTAAAATATTTGTGTATTTAATTTCAAAAATAAAGAAAATGACTTATAATGAATGCTATAATGTAGAAATAAAATGAACTGGCACTCTTTTGAGACAATAAAGAGAAAAAAGTAGCGAAAATACACAGCATGGATGGAAACAAAAATCTGTATCATACAAATTAGGATAGGAAAGAACATGTCAATTATGAATTAAAAAGGGGTTAAAAAGAAAACATAAATTCTAAAATATTTTCAGTGCAAAGAAAGAGATTTGGACCCAACCAAAGACATTGAGTTATTAAATCAAAGAACAGGATAATGTGTAAAGACGAAATAGATGCAGAGAAATGATTTTGGAAAGGAATCTCTCTACATGTTACTAAATAACATAAAGACTGTAGCCAGAAAAGAGGCGTGATTCTTGAGATCAATTAAAATAAACTCAGGAACGGCCAGATAGCTCAGCAGACTAAAGCGCCTGCCTCAGCCGAGCGCAGCGCCCAGGGCTCGATCCCCGGCGTGCCTGCCGCCCCTCCCCCAGGGCGTTCTGAGATGGCCATTGAGACTGGGCGTGGTGGCGCATGCCTGTAATCCCAGGACTTGGGGGGCTGAAAACAGGAGAATCACTATGATTTCATCTGTACTAGTTACTCTTCTCTCATTGCTGGGACAAATACCCAACACTCAAAATGAGAGAAAGAAAGGTTTATTTAGCTCACAGTTACTGGAGGTTTCAAGACTGGAGGAGAGGCTCGGGTGCTGCAGGGTCCAGAAGGACCCTCCCTACACCTCTGAGAAAGCACAGGCTAGCCAGTCTAATGATTTGCGCTTTTCGGCCCCGCCCTGTCTGCCCCCGCCCTGTCTGGCCCCGCCCTGTCTGGCCCCGCCCCATCTGGCCCCGCCCCATCTGGCCCCGCCCCATCTGGCCCGCCCCATCTGGCCCCACCCCTGTCTGGCCCCGCCCCTCGGGCCCTTCCCTGGTCCTCTGGCCCCGTCCCTCAAGCCGCTCACTCCTCCAGCTGCCTCTGCCCCATAACTTACATGAGGCTTTGGGGGGACCACTAGACACAAACCATACCACCAGCCTACATAGTGAGACCGTGTGCACCCTGTACATCCTGTCCTAAATTCATTAAACCGTATACATATATATATATATTTTTTCAGCTTCAGAGTAATAAAAAGAATCTCAACATGCTCTTCTCCATGTATTTATGAACACACATGAACAATCAAGTGATGTGTTAGGTGAACAGCGAATGCAGAAGCTGCAGGGTGACTCTTTTCACATAACCCTTTTCCTCTTTTTACCATGCTTTTCCCAACCTCATTGACATGTGGTCAGTATTTTGTTATATCTATTTATTAAGTGATTTTTCCATGCCCAGTTGAAGAAATAGGCCCACATGCCATAACTGAAAGAATAAGGATATCTTTCAGTTATTTATAGCATTGTAAAGTGTTTTGGATTCTTAACCACAATTAATTCTTTTTTCCTCACTCAAATATTTGCCAACCTCTTAGCTTCACTGTGCTGAAAGAATGATACATTGTAGTACTAAATATCATTTGATTAGTTAAGGAAACAAAAATACTTTTTAAATTTTTCTCCACTTTTAAGATGTCTCCGCCCACAACTTCCACCTCTCTGGTCTATGATCAAGTAGATTAAGATAAATGATAGTGTTTTCAGGGTGTAGAGAAACTTTTCAAGGACACAGATTTATGAATCGTTTCTTTTTTTTTTTCAACTTTTTAAATTTTCAAAAGCATGAACGATGGACACAAAGACAGCGTGAAGAGGCTGACTCTACCTGCTTAGGTACAAAGCAAGAGAGAAGGTATTTGTTTGAGGAAAAGAAGCTGTTAAATAGCATGTCAACTCCATGAAGCAATTAAACACAAGAAACTCCAAACTATACTCCCAAGAACCACTCCCTACCTGTAGTGAACCTGAATGGAAAGAAAGGGGTTTTGTTTTAATGATCCTTCACTTTAAAAATTGTATTCAATCTTTGATTATAAAAGGTAGCACTACTTTTTGGTGTGTGATCTTCCCATTACCATTCTTAATTTTATAAGCAAATAATTCCACCATTGACCAAATTCAGTATAAAATAGTTTATCTTATCTGACTTTAAAAGGAAAAAATGTTGAAAAAGTAATTTCATGCACTTTGCAGTTGGGGTGCCACATGCACCTCACGCTCTTGGAGAAACCTGAGCACCTTGTAGGGCAGCAGAAATATGTGAAATCAACAGACTGAGAACTGGAATATGCATTTTTCTAAATTTTTTTATTTCTTAACCTAAAATTATAGAAGGGATTGTATGGAAGCCACGGGCACAGAACTGGGTGAATGTTTTAAGGAAATCAAGAATATTTAATTTTTTTTTTTTTTTTTACAATTGTTTGGAAGTAAAAGCATTAGTGAAAAATAAGAATGAAAATACAACTAAGAAGCTGGGCAGTCAGACAGCTTTATTGAGAGTTCTCTACAACAAATCATTATTGGATAGACTACAAAAATATGGACCTTGAAAATGTTGACAAAATGCAGATAAGCCAACCTGGAAACAGGCACATATGACACGGGGCTTTGGACCTGGCCTCTGCAAAGGGTTCTGGAGACCTATACCCAACCATGTCACTAACTCTCTGTGGGTTTAAATCTCTAAGTATAGTCTGGTAATTTACAAACTTACATGTGAGAAGTAGAGCACTAACTGATAAGAAAGTAAACAATCAATACTTGGGTAATTTTTAAGACAGAAAATATTTTGTAATATGCTTTCCCTTGAATATTCTTTATAGCATCTTTAATAAATGATATTAAACTGGCTTTCCATGTGTCAAAGATTACAATTAGACCAATGTCTGTCACCATGCACTATACCAAAGACAAAATGTATTAAAGATTTAAATATTAAAGTAGAAACACTAAATATACTGGTAGGAAAAGTAGATAGATATCTTGAAGAATTAGGGGTAGATAGAAAGTTCATGAACAAAAGCAAAACTGCATGAGAAATATTAAAAGAATCAACAACTGGAATCTCATCTTTTTGAAAAGTTTCTTCATGTCAAAAGAAATCACCAAAACCCATGAAATGGGAAAAAAATTATAGCCAACTGTTCCTCAGGCAGAGAATGTTTATCCAGAAGATACAAACGATTTTTAAAAAATCAGGTCCCCAAAACTCAAAGACCCAATTCAAAAATGGGTATCTGAGATGAATATACACTTCTCAGGTGAAGAAATACAAATGGTAAATAAATATATGAAAAAAAATTCAATATCATTGGACATGTGAGAAACGCAAATTAAAACAACACTGATTCCATCTCACCCCACAAAGAATGACTGTCTTCAAGAAGTCAACCAATAACAAATTCTGGAAGGACAGTGGGGATAAAGGAGCTCTTGTCCACTGTTCGTTAGGAGTACGAACTGGTATAACAACTACAGAAATCAGTGTGGAGATTCCTCAAAAAGCTAAGATTAGAGATCTTATTCAACCAAGCTATTCCTTTTCTAGGTATTTTTCCAGAAGGACTGAAAACATCATACCACAGAAATATGTGTGCCCATGTTTATAGCAGCACAATTAGTCATAGCTAGATACTGGAAACAATCCAAATGTCCATCATCTGAGGAATGCATAAAAAAAGATGTGGTGTTTTATATAATAGGGTATCATTCAACTATTTAAAAAGTTAAGGTTGAGGCCTTTATAGGTAAATGGATGCAACTAGAGACTATACTCATAAGTGAAATAAATTAGACCCACATGTGCAAACATCATATTGTTTTGCTAATGTAAATAAAAACTGGAAGAGTAAATAAAATTGGAAAGCTACAATAGATATTGCAAAAGGGAAATAATTTGTTCAAAGGTAAGGAACAACTGGGAAAAAGAAAAGGAGAAAGGAAAGAAAGAAATGAGAAAGATACATTTATGCATATTTACATGATAGCTTGGGAAATTGTGCTGCCGTTTTCATCTGGTTTATTGAAAGGAGCAGTTAGAGACTTTTTTCTTTTTCTCCTTTTAATTTCTTACAAATTTATTTTTACCAATTTTTCACACTTATCTGGTAATATAAACAACCAATTTGAAAACATTATTTACTATACCAACCTTTGTTGAAATCCTGTTATTTTGCTTAGTGAAATTC